CCCGCCCCCGCTCCCGCCCTCGCCCCAGCGCCGGCCTCACCGGCGTGAGCAACCGAGCGGTAGCATGAAGACGGTAGTCAGTCTTCAGGATTTGCCGCCGGCGGAAAGTCCCACCCCTTCCGGGCTATAAGACCGCCCATTTCCGGCGGACTATCCAATCCGGAGACAGGAGCTCAGGACCTTCCTCCTCCCCCTACACCCAGCCCACCTGCCTCCCCGCGCCTGGCCGCTCGGGCCCGTCCTCTGGGAGCCAGGCCCCGAGGCTTGGAGGAGCGGACCTCGGGTGCCGCGCAGGCTTCCGGTGCGGCTAACTGGTAGATGGTAGCATCTGTGATCGCTCACAGTTGGCGTCTCTGTTCTTACTGAAGGCACTCGGAAGTGGGGCCGGCCGGTCTTGCTGACGCCAGGATGGGCCCAATCGCTATTTACTGGCAACAGTTGCTAGAGATGAGGATGAAGTGTGTGTTGGGAGCGGGGGTGAGGAAGAAGGGAGTGTTTACTTTTGGACATACAGGTGCGGTGATGACATTCAGGGGAGACATCAGGTAGGCACGTGGGTAGAGATGAAGCAAGAGGGTTCAAGGTGAGGCAGGTGTGCATGGACAGGGACAGGTGAGGAATGGGTGTTGGAAGGAGAGCTGGAGCCCAGAGAGGTGGAGTGACAGCAGAGCCCGGTGTCAAAGAAGCACTGGGAGACTGTACTAGGACGCTGTCCAAGGGATGGGGGTGGGTCTTCAGTGACTAAGGGAACACCCAGCGTGGGGGCAGTGATGCAGGCGGCAAGCCCCAATGTAATTGGAGAAAAGAATAAACAAAAATCTTGGGTTACGACCACAAATCTTGGGGGGGGCGGGCATGTTTACAGATGGAGAGCTGTCCATTTTATAGTCACTAATAGAAAGGTGGTGCAGCATAGGGGAGAGAGACATGAAAGAGGGGAGTTGAGGGGGCCAGGCACAAAGGGGTTGGGACCCAGGCAGCCCTGAGGCTGCTGTTAGCGTGGCCCCTCCGTCTGCTGTGGCCTGTTTTCATGTCTAATGTGGGGAGGCTGATGCCATTCTACCAAAATGAGATTCTCTGTGAGGTAGGAGGGGAGGGGAAAACGCTTCCCATCAGCACTTAGGAGACCCCACACCAGTCATAGGGCTAAGGTGATCATTAGAACTTTGAAAGATGCAGGGAGACTCCACACTGTGGTCATGGAGTGTTAGGTTCCACAGGAGTAGTTTCCCCTACAGGTGCAGGCTGGGAGAAGGCAAAGAACTGGGTTCACCCAGAGTTGGGATTTTGGTAAGGGGCCATAAAGTGCCACAATGTGACTTTGTTGACAGTAGGAAGTGACAAGAAGGCAGTACAGATATGCACACCACTCAGCTTCCACTGTCATCATCACGTTTAATCCTCACAACAGGCCTGTGAGGTAGATATTGCCCCATCTTACAGGCGAAGAAACAGGCTCACACATGCCCAGGGGCACACAGTTGCAAAATTCTCTTACAGTAGAAAAGACATAGATACACACCACACACACACACAGGCATTGTAATTCTGGTTCAAGAGCATTTGGGGGACACTCCCAGTCAAGTGGTTCTTTCTGACATTTGGAGAAGAAACAAGTTATCACAGCATGGCGAGTGTCAGTGGTCAACCCAACTGCGGAGAGGTCAGGGTCACTGCTCTTGGGCAGATCTCTCAGGTGTTTTGGCTGCTGCCCCAAGTGTCTCGGCTAGTTATTCTCAGGAACCCACAGCAGACCCATCCTCGCCCGGTAGGCAGGGACAGTTCTTCTCAATCTTGCTCTTCTGCATCTGGGTCACTTCAGATGTTACAAATGATGTTTTTTTTCCCCCTGGCTAACCTCTTTAGGAAAATTCTTTTTGCATAAACAGTATCAGGATAGCTTTGAGGGGTTTGAATCAGATTATCTTTAGCTGTGTCTAAATAATGTTAAGAATCCCTTGTTTTTAAAAATTTAATACCTTCTATTTAAAAAGAAATGGCCCAGAAATTCAGCACAGCAAGAGATGTCCATATGGAGACTATCTGTTGGGGACACAGACAAATCACTCTGGGAGGAGGGACAGATTTCTAAAATGAGCTGGGAGGGAGCCTATGACCAAGACATCAAGGTCCTGTCCTGCAAAAAGTCAGGGCCTTCATGTCTGGTCATCACATGTAGTCCGACAATGAAAAGGGCAGGGCTCCCTCACCACGGGGCCCACTGCCCTGTGAGGGAGTAGATAACCTGGGCAGGGTGAGGTGGGCACAGCGACAGACCTGTACTCAAAGCTCTCAGCTCCCCCTAGAACCTAAAACCAGATAGATGGAGGGAGTGGAGAAGCTGTGCCAGGCTACCTGGATCACGTGTTCTCAATTGTGAAAGCTGTCGCTACTGTGATGAGGGTTCAGTGGGGCTGGGGTTGTCAGGCCATGGGCTTAAGCTTCCCAAAGAGAAAGCAGGACAGACACAGGAGAACACAGAGAAATAGGCTTCACACAGTGTTGCTTTGAGGTTAAACTTTTCAAAGAGAAGGATCGGAGTTTTTGTTCTGATTTAGACATTCTGATAGCTGGAATGGGACTCGCCTGGTGAAAGACACTCAGTGCCCTTCCTAAGTTCTCTGTTCCCCATTTGAGGCCACTGGGGTCTACACATCATTCATCTCCAGTGCTCCCACTTCTAGTGCAGCAGCAGCTCTCTCTCTGCGAACATTCACTGCAGCAAACACTAACACACTCACAGCTCCAGGAAGCCCAAGTTCGTGTCCTGCTCCTCCTTGCTGGGGGCAGATAGGTTTTTCCTTTTCACCTCTTGCCGGGGAACACTGCTCTCTGGGGAACTTGAGGGACGACACTGTAAACACGACTTCCTGGCATGATGATGGCAATGCAGTGTGCTCAAGTCACTGCCTGGGGAATGTGCTGAGGTAGATTGGGGAGGGCCGCCATTCACAGAGTTTGTAGGACTCACGCTGCTGACGGAGGAGTACCCTGAGGTTGTAATGTCCTTGCCCAGTTCCCTGCTGCCACAGAGAGGGGGCTTGGGCCCTAGGGCCAGAGGTGTCTGGGTGCTTGGCACCATGGCGTGCAGGTCCTGGCATCCCTTGTCCTCCAGGCAGGCCTCCTCATCGCTAGATTCCTGGCCGCAGTGCTGTTCTGGATTGAGGTACACCACAGTGACATCAAGGACGCCGCTGGGAGCCGTCACTATGGGAGAAGGAGGAGTCAGAGGAGAGGTCAGGCCATAGACTGAGCATCAGGGTGACCCCCTACCCAGTTGGGACCCTGGTCGCCTAGGGTCCAACCAACTCTCACCCAGTTCTCTTGGTACATATACTGGACCTCACTAGACAGTCCCCTCTACTGATCTCCTTTGAGTTAAAGAATGGAGGATGAAATGCCTCCTTCAAGCTTGGGGAACCCAATAGGACTTGGGGGATAGTAGGAAGTGACAACAAAATGGTCATCTAATAATTTACTTAATTCCCTGGACACAAAAGCTTGCAAGCAATCAGGAGATTGACAGAAACTGCTTGAATTGGGTTTTCTATGCAGATAAGTACCTGAAAACATGAGAATAGAGCCCCCTGCAGCCTCCCCTGAACCCTGGAGGAGTGTGAGGCACAGAACCACAAAGCTGCACAGGGCAGTGGGGGACACATCTCACACAATGTTCTAGAAAGATCTTATTGTAAACTCCAGACAGGACTTCTTCCTCTTCCCTGCCCCAGTGAGTCCCTTCCAGAAATCAACACAGGCCTGCCTGAAACTGGACACACATTTGGCTTAAATCCTCTCTCCCCAAACGCTGCTGTGGTGTCCTAGGGACTCTGCTCTCTCACGTCTACCTGTGTCTGGACATGTTCTCTTGCAGGTAAAGCCAGGGGCCCTCGATGAGAGCTGCCCTTTTTCTCGTTGCCCCCTTTGGCATAGCCCCTGGGTAGCTTTGTGGCCACAGGACTTACCATCACCTTCCTTCTCGCCCTCGCTCTCCTGGTCGCCCTCGTAGCCAGAGCAGTAGTCCAGGTTCCAGTCCAGGAAGCTGCCCAGTAGCGTCTCTTCCTGGCTGGACAGCTCTGCGGTAGGGGTGGTGACGAAGCTACCCCTGTCCTCCTGGAGGCTGTTCTCTCGCTTCCTAAGATGTGGAGGCCAGGAACTCAGTCATAGGCAGCAGCATTAGGTCCCTGGCACCTGCCTGCCCTGCCCCGTGTGCTGTGATAGAGACAACACAGCCACCCAGTGCCTGCCCTTGGAGTCCCAGAGGCAAGGCCAGAGGTGCAGTGAGAGCACTGGCTCATCTGGACTTTGCAGGATCAGTGCGAATTCTTCAGGTGAATGAGGTGGGGAAGAAAAGTTATTGCAGGTGGTACAGCCAGGTGGTAACACCATGGAGTAGAGGGCCCAGGGAGGGTGACATGTGACAGGTGCGTGGCAGGGCCAGAGCCTGAGCTGGGCTCAACCTATGCTCAAGCCTATTTTCCCTCAAAGGGTACCAGTCAAAGCAAGAGACAGCACGTTGGAGGAAGGAGGATAGCGCTGTGGAGTGCAGCTCAGGCCCGGGGGCCTGAGGCCTGAATTCAACCCAGCTTCAATTTCATAGAATCTGTTCCTTCTCCGCTATGCCATAGGAACCGTCTGTGTATGGAGCCCCTCAGGCAGTTGCAGGGGTCACGAGGGAACCCAGGCCCAAGCACACAGGAGCCAACACTGCATCACACCCTTAAGATACTGGGCTTACTAACCTCTTGGTTTTCCTTGCGGAAGGAGAGCTAAGGAAGGTGTGAATGTCCCCTGAGCTGAGGAAAGACGTGGGTTCCGGGCTCTCTTGTTTCACTCCTAGAGCTGCGCACACCTGGCTGTAGCTCAGCACCTGAGAGGAAGCCAGGGTCAGAGGGAGAGAAGAGGCCCCAAGGGGTAGGCAGGGGTTTGTTCCCACCCAGACCAGGAGACAGGGGTAGCTGTCACCCCCCACCTCTTCCTGGCTGATCTCTTGGTAACGCTTGTCCTCAAATCGCTGTTTCACGGCAGTCAGAGAGACTTGTCTATAGTCCTTGGGGACGTCATCATGGAAGCTGCAAACAGAGGGACACATGAGGGACAGTGGGGGGCAGGTGGGGATCCGGGGCAGGCATTATCAGCACACCCAGCCCAAGAGACTCCTTTTTAGCCTCCCTCACTGAAATGAGAGGGGACAACATACTTTCAAAAACAGCTCAGTGACGGGAGGTAAAGCAGGGTGCTACTGTGGAAAAGTCTAGCTGTTCCTAATAGTTAAACCTGGAGTCACCCATGACCCAGCCATTCCAGTCCCAGGTGTATCCCCAACAGACATGTGAACACATGTTCACACAGAAACTTGTCTGTGGATGTTCACAGCAGCATGAAACAATCCAAACATCCATCAGTGCACAAATTATAAACACAATATCCACACAGTAGAATATTACAGTGGAAAATATGAGGGTGGAAGAGGTCGGCCACAAAAGGTCACATATTGTATGATTCCGTTTCTATGAAATGTCCAGAACAGGTAAGTCCATAGAGACTGACAGTAGATGAATGTTTGCCTAGGGCTGGAAGGGCGAGGGAATATGGGTAATATATGTAAGGAGTACAGCCCTCCCCCCGCCCCATTTTAAAACCATTTTATTTTTCAATTATAGTTGACATACATTATTATACTAGTTTCAGGTGTACACTCTAGTGATTAGACATTACATAACTTACTAAGTGATCATCCTGCTAAATCTTGCACCCATCTGACACCATACATAGTTAATAGATTATTCACTATGTTCCCTATGCTATACTTTATATCCCATGACTATTATGTATTAACAATTTGTACTTCTTAATCCCTTCACCTTTTTCACCCATCCCCTCAACAACCTTCCATCTGGCAAATGGCAAATGTTCTCTGTATCTGTTATTTTGTTTTTTAGATTCAATTGTTGATAGATATGTATTTATTGCCATTTTATTGTTCATATTTTTTATCTTGTCTTTTCTTCTTCTTCTTAAAGAAGACCCTTTAGCTTTTTTTTTTTTTTTTTGGTCTGCCCTTTGATTTTAAATGATGGCTTTGCTGGATAATCTTGGTTGTAGGTCCTTGCTTTTCATCACTTTGAATATATCTTGCCAATCCCTTCTGGGCCTTCAAAGTTTCTATTGAGCTCCCTTGAAGGTAACTGCTTTTCTCTTGCTTTTAAGATTCTCTCTGCCTTTACCTTTTGCATTTTAATTATGATGTGCCTTGGTATGGGCCTCTTTGGGTTCATCTTATTTAGGACTCTCTGCACTTCTATATCTATTCCCTTCAGCAGGTTAGGGAAGTATTCTGTCATTATTTTTTCAAATAGGTTTTCAATTTCTTGACCTCTGCAGCTGAGATAGCTCTCCCAATTTTTAATCACCACATGTGGGACCAGCCTGTTCTCCTTCTGGCAACGCCATGATGCAAATGTTAGTGAGCTTGAAGTTGTCCCAGAGACTCCTTACACTATCCTCATGTTTTGGATTCCTTTTTCTTTTTGCTGTTTTGACTTGGTGTTTTTTTGCTTCCTTTTATTCCAAATTGCTGATTTGGTTCTTAGCTTTATCTACTGTACTGTTATTTCCCTATAAATTATCCTTCATTTCAGTTAGTGTATTTTTCATATCTGACTGGTCCTTTTTTATGCTATTGAGGTTCTCACTAAGTTCACTGAGTATCCTTATAACCAGTGTTTTGAACTCTGCATCTAGAATGCTTATCCCCATTTTATTTAGTTCTTTTTCTGTTCTTTAATTTGGGGCATGTTTCTTTGTCTCCTCATTTTGGCAGCCTCCCTGTGTTTGTTTCTATGTATTAGGTAGAGCTGCTACATCTCCCAGCCTTGGTAGAGTGGACTAACTTAGTATGTGTTCTATAGGGTCCAGTGGCACAGCCTACCCAATCACCCAAGCTGGGCACTTGAGGTGTGCCTCCTGTGTGGGCTGTGTACACTGTCCTCTTGTAGTTGAGCCTTGATTGCTGTTGGCACATTAATGGGAGGGATTTACCCCCAGGCCAATCAGCTGCAAGGACTGGCTATGACCACCAACCTGATACTCACAACTTACTGCAGGAAAGGTCTGTGTGCATTGATGGTCCTCCCATGAGAGCCCCCTCCTTTTCTCTATACTTGAGGACCCAGCCTCTGTGGCAGAAGTAGGGTGGGAGAATCCATTTCCTTTTACAGACTCACCACTTTTGGTGAAGACTCAAGACACAGGGTATGAGGTCTTCACAGGAGAAGCCAGTGAGGTCCCACAGTCGAGTGCTCCAGGGCTGTGCTGGGGAGAAAAGCAGGAATGGTGGGGCTGTTCTGACACCCACTCACACATACAACCCAGATGGTTCTCTTGTGGGATTTCCTGGAGCTCAGGGTTGCAAAGACCCCCACATACAAAGCATGCCTCCTCACTGTCAACAGTGTGGGAAATACAGGGGTGGGCAAAGGTAGGCTTAAGTTGTTCATATGGAAAATCTATAATAATAAAAGCATAATATGCAAATCAACCAAACGGCGGAACAGCGGAACGACTGTCTGGATGAAGCCAGGGCTGCGAGGCCCGAGGCAGCTGGGGCTGCGAAGGCCTACTCTTGCACGAATTTAGTGCATAGGGCCTCTAGTAATATAATAATTAGTAAGTAATAATACAAGCCTGGCTGGTGTGGTCAAGGTTCGATTCCTGGTCAGGGTACATGCCCGGGTTGCAGGCTCAATCCCCAGTAGCGGGGCATGTAGGAGGCAGCCGATCGATGATTCTCTCTCATCATTGATGCTTCTATCCCTCTATCTCTCTCCCTTCCTCTCTCTGAAATCAGTAACATATTTTAAAAATAAATAAATAATAATACAAGAATAAATACTGTGTTTGGTGTACTATAATTATAAACCTACTTTTGTCCACTCCTGTACTTAAGCTAGAACCATCCCCAAACTCACCCCAAGGGAATGGTTTTTAGTCCATTCTAGTGTTTTCTTCTCCAGGAGAGATGGGCCTGCTTCTTTTTCTCCCCTCTCCCCACTTATATCTGAGCATCATTTTCTGACTCCAGGAATTGCCCAGGCCCCTGGCTCAGCCTGAGCTGAGCGGCTGGCCTGAAGCACAGGATCCTTACTTTGCCCATGTGTCAACCTTGCTAGCAGCAGGGCGGCTGCGGCCAGGCGTGCTGGGGAGTAGGCGGCCAGGCTGGTGTGCAGTAGGGAGAGCTCGCAGAGGAAGCTGCACAGGTGCTGGGTTCTTGGTGGCATAGGGATCAGCGTCAGCAAGATGTCCTTGTAATCAACCACAGTAGGGACCTAGAGAGAACCGGAAGGCAGACGTGGGGTGGGGTCTCAGCACACAGAGAGCTCATCTACCCACTCAACAGGGAGGCTGGCCCAGCACAGAGTCTGGCATGACTGATGTTCAAGATGGTTGCCAGGGCATGTGGTGATAAGATGACCTCTGGGTCCAGGAGTACTTCTCAGAGCAGGAAAGTTCAATATTATGAGGTTGCCCTCAGATCCTGCCACTCCCTCATGTGACCTCCACTTTGATTTACAAAAAAAAAGAAAAAGGCCACTTACTCGAATCTTCCCTTCCAGGGCAGAAATGATCTCTCCCATCATCCTCACCAGGTCCTCATACTTGTACGTATTGTCTGTGAGCCACACGGCTTCCCGGATTGTCAAGATCTCTTTGTTGATGAACCTGGAATATGAGATGGGGTCTGAGAGTTGAGCTCAATTCCCTCAGTGAGGCAATCACTTTAGGCTTCAGTAAAAGAGGCCGGGGGTGGGGAGGTCAAGGAATAGACCTGGATGCTTGTGACCACAGACAGGAACTGAAGAGGTCACATAACCCTGTCATAAGGGGCTGGAAAGGAGGAGGGATTAGTGCCACAGACCATTGTGAGTGGCTGGACCTCCAGGCACACAGATGTTTCTGCCAAAGGCACTCATGAATGACGCGACTGGTCAATCCTCTTAGCGAGTGAGGGGGATTTGCCCTGCTTTGTGCCAGATTCTACAGTGAGTATAAATGGCTTAGACCTAGGAGGCAGGTGAGCCAACAGAACTGAGCTAGAGGTTGTTTGAAGGTTTGTACGTAGCACAGAGTCTGGCCACTGGAAATTTGATTGTCCATTAGGCAGGTGGTCACCCTGTTCTCTATTCTCCACGAGAGCCAACTATCAGTGAACACACTGGTCCAGTGGCCTGCTGAGGGTGCCTCGCCTGGTAGGGTGGGCTGGGGCCAGGCCTGTGATCACTTTGTTCTAAGACTCTGCAGCTCCTACATTTGCTGAGGCATGGGGACCACAGATGCTGATGAGAGCCCTGTGCTTGGAGTCATGGCAAGTGCTGCTTTTAGAGCAGAGGTGGAGGTATCTCAGCCTCTAAAAATTTTTAAAGCAATTAGCATCTCACCGCTAGTCAGTTTGTGATCCAATAACTTGGTTTCCGATGGCAAGGATGTAAGAATGCCACCTAGGTACAGGAGGCAGGGGCCCTGTCTATTCAGCCCTCTCTGGTGAGGAGACTTGAAATACTAAGGGGCCCAAACAGTGTGCGGCAGTCTGCTTGCTGGCCCTGAGTCCACCATGCTCCCTCCACCTGTGGTCATACGACCAGAGACCATGCTTTCTAGTTACATGTGGCCATGTGACTGAGCTTGCTGCAGAGGTGGACATGGTGACCTTAGGGGTCATGGAATGGTGGTGGCAGAGAATAAGACAGAAACTAGGGCTCCTCTGTGACCTCCATGAAACAGAAAATCCGTCCCAATGACATGATGAGCCTGGATCTTATGCCTCTGGGTTATTGTGCAAAAGAAATCAATCTCCCCGTAATTCACACCACTGTGTGCAATGAGCCTGTTCCTTATTTCCCCCAAGCCTTGCAGACAAAGACGGTTGGTCTGGAAAGCACTGCCCAGGGGAAATGGCAGACCATCTGGTTTAGGAAAACTAGAAAATACAAAATGTATGGTGGGAATCACTGTTCATATTACTTCCAAAACTGGGTGGACAGGTATTTGTTAAAGGACAGCAGATTTAGGTAATAAATAATTGAGAAACATATTATTGGGAACATGACTGCCAACAAGCAATCTTTCATGATCTTGGGTGGAGGACTCTGACTTTCCCTCCTTGTTGAGTCACCTCAGGGGCCAGGAGAAGTGGGGTCCAACCTGAGCCTCACCAAGTAAGGCCACACTCTGGGTCCTGAGACCATGTGCTGGGATGAGTGGCTGCCCACACTCCAAGCTCAGCTGTCCCTGTGGGGAGGACTACATGGCTTGAGCACTCCCTAAAATTCAAACCCCCATCTAACCAAGTGGGGCGCTGAAGTTTTATTTCACTGAAAAGCCAGCCCATGGACTAGGGCAGCGGTTCTCAACCTGTGGGTCGCGACCCCTTTGGCGGTCGAAGGACCCTTTCACAGGGGTCGCCTAAGACCATCCTGCATATCAGATATTTACATTACAATTCATAACAGTAGCAACATTACAGTTATGAAGTAGCAACGAAAATAATTTTATGGTTGGGTCACAACATGTGGAACTGTATTTAAAGGGCCAGAAAGTTGAGAACCACTGGACTAGGGCATAGCTGTGGGGAGCTTCTCACCGAGTGCAGATGACCATGCAGGCAATGCCCAGCAGCTGGAGCCTGTACCGGGGCACCAGCCTCCTCCGTAGGTATCGGTCCACACACTCCACTGTCAGGTGAAGGCATAGGCTTGTGAAGTCCTTCATGGTAGCAACTTCTACCAGCCAGTCGATTAGAATGTACCTTTGGGAAGAGAACCACCCCTGAACACTAGAGCGAGCACTCATGAGTGTCCTGTCTCCCAATTCAGATGGTCCATCTGTCTCAAGTGAGAGAGCTGGTCATCTGCACTATTGGTTTACCCAGGAACCATCCCAGGCTGAGACGCCACATTCAAGGGGGTAGGGGAGGCCCCACATCTCCTGACATTGTTTCTGGGAGGTAGGTGGCTCATATATCTGTGTCTCTGCCTTCCCCACAGGGTCCCCCAGGCACTGGAAAGACCTGATACTCACAGGTAAGGGGCAAGGTAGAGGTGGGACAGATCACAGACCCCAGGACCAGAGAAAAGACACTCAAAGGTGCGAGAGCTTTGGCCTTCCTGCAAGTCACCTATGGGGTCATTTACCAAAACCTTTTGCAGTGGAGCAAAGAGCCAAGAACACAACTAAAGCAGAATGCACTGAGCCCATGAACTGGACTTTCTTAGTCACCCACCAACCCTGATGGAGCACAGAGACAACACACATGGGGTCCTTCCTCGAGAGGGCTATAGCCTGGGGTCAGGGACACAGACATCACAAAGGAATGCTGCGTGCAATGGGAAGGATACTAGAGTACGGGAAATGCCTTTCTGAACAAAAGAGAGGGGACACAGAGAACAGAAGTAAGAGAGAGCAAAATTGTGATTCTGCACAGACAGGGTAGATGGGATCCTGGTGTCAGGCAGGACAGAAGCATCTCAGAGGGAAGGAGGGAAAGATGGGGTCAAAGTGGTGGAATGGAAGGAGGGAAGCAATGGAGGTGGAATGGAAGGAGGAAAGGATGAAGGAGGAAGACAAGCCTCTAGTTTCTCCCAGAAGGAGGAAGATAGCATGAGTATCAGGTATTTGAGGTTTAAACCAGCCACTATTGGAACAGAAAAGGAAGTTCCCCTACACAAACAGATTAACAAGCTTAATCTGGCTTATAAAAACAGAATAACCAATGTATATACTTTAAAATGGTTAAATCTGAAACTAATATAATGTTACATGTCAATTATACCTCAGTAAAAAAAGAAAAAAGTTGGCAGTTGCTAGGCACAGAGGAAAATGGAAAGATGCTCAACGCAAGGGCTGAAATGATAGTATCGCAATAAAATTATTTTAGTTCTTAACAAGGAAAAAAAAAGTGAAATTTATTACACACTGCTGCTCCCAAAATAGCAACAGTCCAAAAAAAAAAGAGGCAGACTGAGAGGGGCACAAGGTGTTATCAGCAAATTTCTTCCAACAGAAAAAGGGAAGAGCTGAGAGGAGGGGGGAAGGGATTGTGACATTTAATGTGGGATCTAAGGATGCTGCATCCCTCACTGTGTGTGTTAGACATTAAACCTCTCCAGGAAACGCTAGATCCTTCTAAAAATAAATGTTTACTGAGAACTTACTATGTGCTGGGCATTGTCTATTAGAGTATAGCCAGAGCCTGCCCATTATAAATCCAAATGTATTAGAAATCTCTTACATGAGCTCACAAAATTATTCACATTTTCCATTTTACTAACATGTTCTGTGATTGAACATAAGAAGTGCCTTATCTCTAAACCTTGGAGGAAAATGGGCCTGCAGGAAGAGGTGGGTATTGCTGGGGTTTTAGGACACCGGGCACATTGCAGCTGCCCCAGAGGGCATAGCTCCTGGTTCAGGCTGGCTCAGACAGCCATGAAGTTTCACATACCATGTTGATGATCGTAATGATAGCTTATAAAGAAAAGGTGGTTTGGGGGCTTCAGAAAGATGTTTAAAATGGTTTAACTTGTTCTGAGGCTTAAAAAGGAAAACTGGAGAGAGCAACACTTTTTAGGACGAATATTTTCTCTTAAAAGCCCTGGATAACTTAGAAAACACACACACACACACACACACACACACACACACACACACACACTCAAATGGGGTGATCCTAGTGGGGTTGACAACACAGAGTGCTCTGTGACAGGTGGTTCAGGTGAAACAGAATGAATAGCTCCCTTTGCACCAGAGACCAGTGGTCACTCTGCCTTCCAATCAGACGCTCTGGCTTGAACCCCTCACCTCATCGTGTCGTTGAGTCCCTTCTGCACAGAAAAGACCTTCTGCTTATTAGCAGCATGGGAAGCCTGAAAGAGCTGGCAGACTATCTCATTGGATGCTTTCACTTCTAGTCCAAGCTGGTTTCCATTTGCACAGGCTTTGGCTAAAGACAGCTGAGAAGTAAAGACATGCAGAATGAGCACAAAGCAGTGACTTTTGAGGTTTTCCATTTCCAAATGTGAAGAGCTTTTGAGAGAGAAGACATGTGTATACACATTTGCCCTCCTTATGCCTCAAGCCTTCTGTAACCAGTATGACTAAGATTTTAATGATTCCTTTTGAAATAATATATCACATGATAAAGAATTTTAAAAAGGATAAAAGGTATGTAACAAAATGTCAGTCCCCTTCCTAACCTGGTACAGCAGTTCAACCAATAAGTGTTTGGTAACTTAAAAAAAAAAGTGTATTTCTGTTCAACTCCCAATTGTGAAAGCTAGATATTCCAGATAGAAGAAATGCATTGCCCTTTCAGCCAGCAGTGATGGGAATGCTGCTGCTCTGCTTCCTCAGTTGTGTTTATTTCCTCTTTTCTCAGAGGGCGCTGAGGCCCTGTGGACTTTATCAGGACCTTATTACTCTTATTGATGAGTTTGAGCTACAAGTAGAACCACATTGTGATTGTCATGTCTTATAAATGTGCTGACTGCCTTTTTGGACATAAACATTACAGGGCTCTGTGACATGTCAGGCTGAGCCACCTACCGCTTTGTGATTTCTTTCTTAGCTTTTGAGGGTAGGTGACTCTCAACCATCCACTTGATTGGTTGAGCTTCTACCCGCTTGGCTTTCTTTGTCTTGAAATCACGACTTTACAGCTACAAGGGGAGAGTGCTTAAAGAACACCAACTACAAATCCTTAAGGGTTCTGGTTCTGACACTGGACAACCTGGTGAGTAGGTCAAACAATGAGAATAAGACAGCACTCCACATGCCCACCTGCTCTAAGGAGCTTCAAGATCTGTTGCTGAGGTAAGCTTTACCTGCAAGACAACTTTAGGGACCAGTATGAATTTTGACAGCAGATGCAGTCCCCAGGCACTTAGAAATTAAGAGACTGGCTTAGAGGTGATGGGCTTTGAGACAATAGGGTGGTAATGGACAGAGAAGAAAGCAGCAGTTCCAGGCTCTCCTCCCAAACACCCCAGAGCTAAACTCCTTTAAGACACAACTCCAGTTTTATGGCCTCCTGAGTGAGAGTCCAGGAGGTAAAGGCCAGCTCCCTCCTCACCTGGGCTTCCCAGCAGCCTTTGGCAGCATAGTCCCTGAGTTTCCGGAAGTTGTGGAGGCACCGTCCAGGATCAGACATCTGTCAATGGAAGAAAGTCACCATGACTTTATACTGTTGTGTCTCTGGAAAAACTCAGAACTGACCTACGGGATCTTTAAATGTTTCCCCCAACATCCCCAGAGGGTCTCTGGCTGCACTTTCTTCTAAGCCTTTTATTCTCTAAATGACAGTGGTCATTTTGGGACAGTGCTGAGAGTGGCCCACTAAGCAGCGGTTCCAGGGGCCTACTAGATGTATGAGGATCCTTCCTGTGCTGACAACCTCATCCAAGGGCCAATTTGGAGACTGTGCCTTTGGCCAACATAATTCCTCCTCCCCAGACCCTGGTCCACTCACATCCGTCATTCTGTCACTTTCCCAGAGGAGGTACGAGCTGGTCAAACATCCCTGATTAGCAGACTCTTCAAACAGTTCACGAGCCTGCTTCTTTTTCTCTTCATCCTGGAAAAGTCCAAGCAGTTTATTCTTTTCTTATTCTCTTTCTGCTAACCCATTCTAGTAACCATCTTCATCTTTCTCCATATCTCTAAGTGTCCCCATGCATTGCTCTTTAATAAGAATGAGTTAACTAAATCGGAGTAGAAATGATTTATCTTAAGACATACATTTGACAATCAACGGGGAAAGTGAATTCACGAGTTCTGCCCTCACAGGTTCTGCTTTCTCCTTGACCAGGTTTGTGTTTGGCTTGGCCCTAGGCCTACTGGAGGGCAAGCCCTCCACACTGAACCCCCCAGATGGTGATGTTGGAGGCTATCTTGGGGCTCCTCCACCCCCTCCCTCATGCTCAGTGTCCCTCCCTGTTACTGTCAATGCACACCTGTCACCAGAAGCCACCACCTTCCCTGACTTGCTGCAGAGGGAATTCCTTAATAACAAAGCTTGTTAAAGCTTTCTTGTCAAATGTGGAGAGGTCTGGGTGAGCAGTGGGAGAGGCTCACCAATAGCAGAACCATGGAACAAATAAGCACACTCAGACGCTCTACCTGGCTCCACGCAGCCTCTCACAGTCAGGACTCTTGCTTCGAACCCTGGACAGCCCCTTTTGCTGCCTTTCACTTACTTCCTCATCCTTGGTGTTTGTGGCTGGCAGAAAGGTGAGCAGCATGGACATGTGATGCTGCTGTATTCTGTATGCTCACCCAGGCCAGGCACACATAAAACTCAGAATCCAAGTGGGATAGATAACCCAACTCACCTCAAAAAGATTCAGTACTCTCCCCAAGCAGTGCAGTATGGACGCTCTGTGAGTCTAAGGAAGGAGGAAAAAGAAGTATGATCACCAGAGGAGAGAACATCCGGGGCTGCCCCTCCCAGTCTGTGGGGTTTGCAAAGGACCGCCTGCTTCATGGAACCTCTTGCCTTTCCAGCTGTCACTGTGCCTGCAGTCCAGCTCATCAGATTCCCCTGAACCCCGGCTCCAAGGCCTCCTCTCCTGCTCGGGCATTTCCAGACGCTCCCACATCCAGACTATTGGTTTTCTGTGCCTCCACAGCCCTCAGGTCCCTGACTTTATATGGTCCACAGCATCTCTCCTCAAGGTTTCTCACCTCCCGGGATCCTGTGGGGCTTGAACTGCCCAGCGCTGCCCACCCTACATGCGCCCCTGGCCAGGACTCACTCTTTGCAGCTGGCACTCTGCCCTGAGGCTCTCGTGAACCACGGCCTTGCAGCAGCTTCCAGACACTGACCACGGAGGACGGATGAAGAGCCAAATGAAAGGCGCAGCACTGACATTCAGTCGCTCAGCGAGACTAAAGTAGCGAGAGGCTTTCAGGCCATTCACTTCTGCGCGGGCCTCATCAGACACAGACACTGTAGAGGCGGACAGAACATGACCCAGGGATGTCTCGAGGACAAATGTGAGAGTTCTCCATGATCTTTTGTGAAAGTCTAAAACCCCAAGTCCACTGCAGTGCAGAGCTGCTGGTGTCTGAGGAGATAAAAGCCCTCCAGAATGGGGGGCTCCTTCCCCTTCTCTCCCTACTTTGTGACTCATGTACCTCTGCCAGGGTCTTCCCAACAGCTTGGATTTTGAAGGTTGGGAAGGTGCTCTCTGTGAAGGTGTCAGATGCCCACCCTCCCTCCTGTTGGGTACTGCTGGCAACCCCCCTGCTAACAAGTTTATTTTGGGGGTAATGAGAATTTCCAAAATCAGACAGTGGTGATGGCTGCACAACTCTGTGAATATACCAAAAATCACTAGGTTATATACTTTGGATGGGTGAGTTGTATGGTATGCGAATTTTGTCTGGGAACTGCTATCTGATGGGAGGTTTGGGGCAGGACTGCAGCTTTTCTCAGCCTGGAGGAATGCTCATTGTTTCTATTAGTCACAACAGTCTTGTCAACTGACCACATGCAGGGGCTATTTCTCAATAAGATGCCAGATCTTTTAGAAACAGAAAAACGGCTGTTATACTCAAATCTTAATGTGTTTTGGGAACCAGACAGGATGCACCCTAGGCTAGTCCTTAGTGTGCTAAGCAAACAGGCAGGAATTGGTGGAAGGCCACATAAGATTCTTTCAAAGAGCACCTGACCTTTGGGGGTAAAGAAATTCAGTCACTATGCTGCCTTTGACCTGCTTGTACCTGCCTCCGGCTTAGAGCCTTGGCTACCTGTGTTCTTGATATCCTACGGAATTAGGCACACTTTGACCACTGCTCCAGAGTTCCACAGAGGAACTGTGGCTGAGGCAAGGAGCCAGAGTCTACACACGGGTTTTGGTGTTGACTGGAGAGAGGGCAGGCAGCCAGGGGAAGGCTGCTGCCTGAGTAGCCCTCATTCTAAGTCTCTGCTCAGTCATTCTTTGCTGACTGAAATGAAAAGATTTATTAAAATGAGAGGTGAGTCTTCCAACGTACAAAAATCCAACTTCATCAATGGGTCCCTCAATAGGGCACCTCTGGCACAAGCTCCTTGGAGAAGACAGTAGGGCAGACCTCCAGATACAGTAAGAAGAGCAACTAAATTACAAACACCGAGAAGAGCTTATGCTTGTTCTAAAACATCAATACCAAGAGGGGCAATGCCAGCTCCAGCCCTGCAAGGACTTACAGCCTTCATTGTAGAGGTACGCAATGCCTAGCTTCACAGCAGCTTCAAAATTTCCCTTTTCAGCAGCCCTACAACATTAAGAACAGAAAATATCACAGAATTATATTCCATCAAGGTTATGTTCCATCACAGCAATTGAAGCTAGAGTACTTATTTTCTGAATAGCAACTTTTTTTTTAGCTAATGCAGTTATGTATCATACAACACGGATGAACCTTAAAAACATGCGAAGTGAAAGAAGCCAACAAGTTGTATGATTCCTTATATGAAATGTTCATAATGGGCATATCCAGAGAGAGGAAACAGATACTAGGGTTTGGGGGATTGCAAGTAAAATAAGGAATGACTGCTAATGGGTACAGGGTCTCATTTTGGGGTAATGAGAATGTTATAAAGTTCGATAGTGTTGATGGTTGCATAACTGTGACTATATTAAAAATCATCAAGTTGCACATTTAAAAAGGGTAAATTGTACAGTTTGTGGGTTATGTCTCGGGTGGCCGGCCTGAAACTACTGGCACACTTGGACGGTGTGTTTAGTCATTGTCACACTAGGATTCACAGGCCTTAGGGCTCACACCCACTTTGGTCCTGCCTCTGGGTCCCATCTCTAGCAGGGGGATGGGATCAGCCAGTGAACGAAATGCAATAGGATTTAAATCATATGGTTTTGACCAAAAGAAAAGAGAGCTGAATAAAGTTTCCGCACACAGATGACCGGGGTTTGAGTCACAAGGGATGGGTCACAGCCCAAGAGGGACTCTTCAGAAGCACCACTCTGACTAATGAGAATCAGGCCTGTGCTGGTGGTATGGATGACTGATGACTGTGCTGGAAGTCATGTGACTCAGTGGGTGAGGTTGACTGCCCTTAGTTGCTTCCTTGGGGGGATAAGGAATTGGCAGAGGCTACAGGAAGAAAATCATTCCCAGGTCAGGCCTTGGGACACACGCTGAGATATCAGGGAGGCCCCAAGATGGGAGAAAACCAAGCTATTCCCAGGGTGCAGAGATACCTTTCAAAGAGCTTCAGGTTCCTTGGAGAAGGCCACAGCTCTTGAAAGCTGGCACATGCCCACACGCTGGCATGGTTGTCCACCAGGTACTTCAGGTGGGAGTGCACCTGCAGAGCAACGGAAGCAGGGTAGGTGGGAATTAAGGGACCTTCCCAGAAGCCATGCCTCTGGAGCTCTTGAAGACAGAATGTAGGGCCTCCTGTCCTCTTCCCTACCCTAGTAGTAAAGGCCCCCACTCTGTGTCTTAAAGTAACAGTGGCTTTGAATAGAAAAAAGAGCCCAGAAATAAGTTTCTCTGTGGCTCTAAAGGTGGAGACAGTGGTCCTAACCGGTTTGGCTCAGTGGATAGGGCGTCGGCCTGCGGACTCAAGGGTCCCAGGTTCGATTCCGGTCAAGGGCATGTGCCTTGGTTGCGGGCACATCCCCAGTAGGTGGTGTGCAGGAGGCAGCTGACTGATGTTTCTCTCTCATCGATGTTTCTAACTCTCTATCCCTCTCCCTTCCTCTCTGTAAAAAATCAATAAAATATATTTAAAAAATTAAAAAAATAAATAAATAAAGGTGGAGACAGTGGTCCTGGAAGGGGGAATAATCATCTAGACTGAGAAAGAGGGAATGACACCTCTGTACGATATATAGCTACAAGGAACAGAGGAACCAAGTCTAACAGGAGCAGCTAGGACAAAAATTTGTTTTTTTGTTGTTGTTTTAAAATTTTTATTGATTTCAGAGAGGAATGGAGAAGGAGAGAGAGATAGAAACATCAATGATGAGAATCATTGATCAGCTGCCTCCTGCACACCCCCTACCAGGGATTGAGCCCACAACCTGGGCATGTGCCCTTCCCCAGAATCGAACCCTCCCGGGTTCCTTCAGTCCGCAGGCTGACGCTCTATCCACTGAGCCAAACCTGGAAGGGCCAAAAATCCGTTTTGTATTGTTCTGCCTGGAGTCTTGCAATGGGAGCATGAATGGAGCCTAGAGGTCAACGGACTCTTGGAAAAGACTGACAGCAGCCTCAGGTAGGACCTGGAGCCTCTGCTCTGGGCGGGAGCCCTAATCACTGGTTAGCAATCTAAGCGCTAACGTTCCCACCGCCATTGGAAACTCAGCACCCATGGATATTATAACCCAAATGGAGGCGGCTTTGGGAGTTGGAGAAGTGGGTTCTTGTTTTCCTACGAATTTACTATATGCCTTGGGTTAAGTCATTCAAAATGAGGCTGCAGTTCCAATGTCTGTAAAATAACTCCGAGTCCCTTTCAGTACTGAATATTACATGGGATTTGTTCTCAAGGATATACTTTTATTCTTTTTAATATCTTAAATTTTTTTTTTTAAATATGGAATGCTTCACAAATTTACATGTCATCCTTGCGCAGGGTCCATGCTAATCTTCTCTGTATCGTTCCAATTTTAGTATATGTGCTGCCGAAGCAAGCACTAATATCTTAATTTTTTTCAAAAAAATTTAAAAAAATATATTTTTATTAATTTCAGAGAGGAAGGGAGAGAGAGAGATAGAAACATCAATGTTGAGAGAATCATTGATCGGCTGCCTCAAGAACGCCCCCTACTGGGGATTGAGCCTGCAACCTGGGCATGTGCCCTTTACCGGAATCAAACCCAGGACCCTTCAGTCCGCAGGCCAACGCTCTATCCACTGAGCCAAACTGGCTAGGGCTCAAAATTTTTTAAAAAATTTATTTGTCAAGTACAATTGAGATACAGTGTTAGTTTCAGATGTAATGTCTTATGTCTTAAGAGATACAAATTTTACTGCCGTAAAAAAAAAAAGTGGCTTCTCTGTTAAACATTATAGTGAACATACTACTTTTAGGTTTCCCATGATCAGAACAAACTCAAGCATCTATTAACAATTACCATCCTTGTTCCTCTGTTCTTTTTGTAGCCAAAGTTCTGTTCTGACATTTAAGAACCTGAAACCTTGATGGAATGACCAACACCGCTAGGGCTGACACTATCTTCATCGGGCAACTTACAGATCGAACGGCAAGGATGTCCCCAACAGAGAGCCATTTCAGGATGTGAAAGAGCACGTCTTCTGGGAGACTCAAGAGGGTTAAGTTTCTGGGCCTTCTTCTTATTCTCCGCTTTGTAGGATAACAGAAACACTTGGCACACCTACAGTGGATCACTTAAGAAAAAAGAATCAGAATGGTCTCAGTGATGTGCTGGAAAGGAGCTATACGGAGATGAAGTTATACCCGCAGATGACTTAACGGTTACAGTCCCCTGCCCCACAAAAGGAGTCAGCCGGATTTCTAGTCCCCAACAGAGAATTAATAAAGGAGCAGTATTATAAGGATAACAGACGACATCGTCATTTATTCAAATATTCAGTAAGTATGGACGGTGAATAGCCGACAACCATGTAGCTTGGCTATCGGGAAACCTTCTGACCCGGAGCCCAGATGATAACCGGGAAGGGGAACCAAGCAGCCAATGGGATGAGGCTTCTCAATGGAGCCCCCGGGACCCCTGCTGATCTCTCTGCTCCATTTGCATACATGACTAAAATGCATAATGTTCCATTAGGCTCCGTGGACTTGAACAACCCGGTTTTCCAGTCCAAACCAAGAGGGTCAGTTCCACAGGGACTCAAAGGCTGAACTTGCAGGACAGCTTGGTCCCCCCTCTGCCCAGTGTCCTCTCTCCCCATGGGGGGTGGGGTGGGGGGTGGGATCATTCCAACTCCAGCAGCTCCTTCCTCATTCTAAGTAGAGGACTTAGACACTCCCGGGCAGGAACCCCTCACCCACAATTTACCTGGTTTTCCATACAGCACTCCGCCCCCCGCCCCGCTCTTAACCGGGGTCTTCCCGTCCGCAGGTAACGTGCCGCGAAAGCCCGACCTATACTCAGGGGGACCAGTTCCCACAGGTTACCTGGATTTTACCACACCGTCCTCATTCCCTTGATGTAGGACAGACAGGGAAACGCTTAACCGCCACGGCGATAACTTCCCAAACCGCGGCAGCGCTCACAGCCTCTACAGGGAATGGGACCCGCGCAGGGCTTTCACGCGGACCTGGGCGCCGCCTGGCATTTAAACTGCGCGCCGGGCAAGTGCCGC